GGCAACAAAACATCAAAGTCCAGTTCATTACCTTATCTTTTGTTATGAAGAATCTGCCAGTTAAATGCGCTATTTAACAATAAACAAAAAGCATTCCCACAAAGGTCTGGTTTCTTTACCTGGCTTAGTGCAAATTTATACCAAAGCACTTTTGTCAAAAGTAAAAATAATGAAAATAGAAAAGTGACTGTCCCCTTTATCCTTCTTGAAACTTTCTTAAATCTTCTCTGTGTTAAACTTTCTGCAAAAAAATTCTTAAATCTTTAAATCCTTAAGGTCTCTCTCTCTCTCCCCCTCCCTCTTTTTGTAATCCCAAAAGAAGGTTTAACTCACTGTAAGGAATCTTGTCTTTGCTGCAAAGGAAATCTCTCTATATCTGTAGATTAATTATTTCTGAAAGTGGTTAAGAAATGAGGATGGCAAGGCTTAATGTCCGTATAGATTACACCACAGCTGTGAGCGTAGATGGAATCCCAGGACTCCCAGCTGCTCAACCTCTGAGCTGACTGCAAAAACTTCTGTTTCTGTAGTTTACCCATGGGGAATAGCCATCCAGAGTGCAAGTGGGTTATCTCATGATCTCCCTTTGATCCAAGGAGATAACACCAGCAAGAATATGCCTTCCAGCTAGTGTTCCAGACAGTGGTCTCTCCACATCCGTCCACAATCATTTCTCACTGGAAGCTTCAGATAGGTCCTGGAGGAATCTGGTGGTAGTCGACGGTAGATATGGAGCCTGGAGAATAATGAGAAAATCTTGGGATTAATCATGAGTAGAACTTGGCAGAGTAGGTAATTGGGAGGATAAGTTAGCCAATCAAACAGCTTCATTGGGCAAACAGCTTCATTGGGAATTTGCTTTCTTGAGAGAGGGAGTCTTCCCCTCAGCCTCAAAGGAGGTGGTGATGTGACCCCCTCTTCAAGACGCTGTCACTGGACCCAGCAATCCTGGACAATTTAAGGGAAGGTAGTTGAGAAGGTGGTTGGCCTGATTCTGAAGGAGACAGTTCATTTGGACTTCTTTCAGTTGGGCTTAGGCCAAACAGCAGTAAAGAGTCAGCATGGCTCTTGATCTCTTGACGTGCATGGTCCTTGATCTCTCAGGGGCTTTCAATGTCTTTCTGGGTCCTTCCAGACCAGCTGCCAGGTTTGGGAATGGGACGCCCCATGTGGCGGTGGTTCTCCTTTCTCTATGGCCAGTCTCAATCAGTGTGTTGGGGGAGAAGTTGTGCCTGCAGCTCCTCATTTCTGGGGTGCCACAGGGCTCAATCCTGTCTCCCCTCCTTTTTATCATGAAGCCTCTGGGCGAGGTCATCCGTCAGATCTCAGGCCAGTCAAGTGAAGCTGTTGAGTTACTGACCCAGTGTCTGGATGGGGAGGAACAGACTCAGGCTCTTCCTGACAAAACTGAGTGGTTATGGATATTTGGATCTCCTGGGTTGGGGATGTTTTCACCACTGGTCTTTGATGGGGTTGCACTTCAACGCTAGTTCACCACTTCAGGGTTGTCTTGGACTGATAGCTCTGCTCAAGGAGCAGGTGGTAGCAATGGCCAAGAGGGCCTTGCAAAGTGGCACCTTTCCTGAACCATCACTCATGCCTTGGTCACCTCGTGATTGGACTATTGCAATGTACTCTACATGGAGCTGCCCTTGAAGACCACTCAGAAACTACAGCTGGTCCAGAATGTAGCAGTACGGGCAGTGATGGGCAGGTCTTCTTACGCCCATGTGACCCCACTTGTCTGTAGCTGCCTTGGCTGGCAGTGCAGTTCAAGGGCCTGGTTAAACCCCTTCCCCACATGATGTTTCCACCCACCCAGTGAGATCTGGCAGAGTGGGCATGCTTATCAAAGTATAATAGTGATTTTTAGTTCTTCCTTTAAAAAGTGGCATAACCCATTTGTAACTTTGCAAGTAACTTAATGATGTATTGAAAAACTGTAAGCTTTGTGACATTTGAGACCCCATGTTTTACTTATTTGTATCTTATTAATTATATTTTACTCCCCTATTCTTTCTATATGTCTGTTATTCATGGTTGATATTATTTAAAAAAAAAAAATTTAGTTAAAGAAAGGAAATCTAAGTATGGGGGGGGGGAACCCTTTAACTAAAACATTGGAATGCATGCATTTTTAAAAATACGTTTCTAACCCTCATGATGTTGAAGAGAATAAAATACAGGCCGGGGATTGTAGTTCTGAACATTTGGAAACAACAACACCGACAACCTCAGCCCTTTTTCTGTTAGCAGTCTATGATGGCTGTCACGGTCCTGAAAGTTGATTCCTAGTTTGGAATTACCAGGCAGGCAAACTAGCCCACTTTCTTTTACTCCAACCTTCTGTTCTGAATGCCCCCGTGGCTACCCTTTCTAGCTCTGATTCCAAAGCTGGCATGTTTTTGCCAAGATTGCGTGGCTCAGCGGAGTTTGGAGGCTGTAATTAGCATCAAGATGTTTTTCCTCCCTGTTTGTGATGTGCAGGATTTGCCATGTGTGCGTGTGTGCAGGTATCTAGTTTTCCACCCAAACTCTCCATTCTACCACCCGCTTGTTGAAATGTTCTGTCAATCACCATCTCCATGCCCCGAAGCATCTCAGCTCATTTTTGCTCTCTCCTTCCTTCCTTCCTTCCTTCCTTCCTTCCTTCCTTCCTTCCTTCCTTCCTT